TATATATATATATATATATATATATATATATGTATATATGAAAAATATATCAAAAATACATGTAGGTACTCAAATCAAAGGTCTTGAAGAGTTTAACATCAGGATGAGCTTATATCTTTAAAAATGTCAATATTTAAGAAGGTACATTGCAATTTAACGAAACTCATTATTTAATATAGCAAATTTTGGGGCTAAAAATATATTTTTAAAAAATTGTACGTGTAGTTTCTTAAATTCTTTGCAAATTAATTTTTTTTTCAATAAAAAAAATTGTAAAAATTAATTTTAAAAATCATGTACTCTATCTAATATTTCATCAATAAAAATTACCTAATTGAGCTGGAACAACATTATTAAGTCCACCTCCAAAAGCACTAGTAGCAAGAACCGGAGCAGCGATAGAATTGACAACAGGAGTATTGGCAGCAACACTAGGAATATTCCTAGCAACATCCATCAGCCGATTACCTCCAGCACCTAAGCCCATACCAATTGACTTCAAGCCTTCTGGTAGCTTCGGTGGCAAGTCAGGATCGTTAGCACGGTCAAGTCTCACAGTCATTCTTCTATCATAGAGCTGCTGATTGTGGAGCATAGAGATAGCCTGGACAGACTCAACAGGGTGGTCGTACTCTACGACACCGAACCCACGGGACTTTCCGTCCTTGTCCTTGCCCAACTCCACGTGCAAGACTTTGCCAGCGAGCTTGAAAACTTCCAGAAGTTTTTTCTCGTCGACTTTGTAGTCCAGGTTCGCTACAAACACTCGGGTCACCAGTGGTCCGTTTATTCCTAAAGATTCTAGGAACTGTGTGCTCAAGCCGTAAGTGTTGCCGAATTTGTCTCCGTTGCTGCCCAAGACTGAGCCAGAGCTGACTAAACTTCCTCGGCCCACGTTTGAACGCGAAGAATCGCGGAAGCGGTCGTCTCTTGAGCGGTCGTGGTCCCGGGAGGATTGCAATCGACCGTACTTGTCACGCTCTACGTCGTAGTCCTGTAATAGAAAAAAATTTTTAATTAAATTTAAACAAATCTTGTGAACTATTGACATTTTTAAAGATATAAGCTCATCCCGATGTTATACTTATTGAGACCTTTCATTTGAGTACCCACATTGACTTTTCATATATTTTATATATTTATATATATTATATATATGTCTATATGAAAAATATATCAAAAATGCATGTGGGTATTCAAATGAAAGCTCTTGATGAGTGTTACATCAGGATGAGCTTATATCTTAAAAAATGTCAATAATTAAGAAATGACATTGTATCTTCTAAACTATTGACATTTTTAAAGATATAAGCTCATCCCGATGTTATACTTATCGAGACCTTTCATTTGAGTACCCATATTGATTTTTCATATATTTCATATATATATATATATATATATATATGAAATATATATCAAAAATGCATGTGGGTACTCAAATGAAAGGTCTTGATGAGTATAACATCGGGATGAGCTTATATCTTTAAAAACGTCAATATTTAAAAAAGTACATTGCAATTTAACTAAAGTCACTATTTAATACCGCAAAATTTCATATATTTATAGTTTACACAAGACTAGATTACTAGTAATAAAACATTTAAAAAGAACTTACCTCTTTAACAACAAGCTTCCGTCCTTTAATATCAAATCTGTGCATTTTTTCAACAGCGACTTTAACACTGTCCGAGTCTTCAAACTCAACAATCCCGCACCCACGTGGCTTATCATTCTCATCAGTGAACAACTCAACGTGGGCGACTTTTCCTACTTCAGTGCGGAACAAGTCCTTGAGATCTTGCCAACGAAAGTCGTAGGGGATGTTCGAGACATAAATACGACGCTCGGAGATACGTCGGCCACCTGAACCACCACCTCCAGCTCCACTACGCTCGCGGCTTCGATCGCGGCTGGATGAATTCAGACGCTGCCGGTCAGATCGCCGGTTTCTGTCCCGCTCTCGGCTGCGCTCTCGATCTTCATTTTGATTCTGGGCTCTAAAATTTATTTTTAATCAATATCATTATTATAATACTAAAATTAGACATTAAAAAATTTTTAATTTATTTAATCAATAAAAAATTATAATTAAAAAAATTTTTTTTATTTTAAATGTCAAATTTTCTTAACTTTAATTTTTTTTAATGAAAAAAAATTTCTAAAATTTTTTTAATGTCAGCAAATTTATTTTTATATTGTTGGGCATTTTAATAATAATAATAATAATAATAATAATAATAATAATAATAATAATAATAATAATAACTAAAATATTACTAATAAATATTTAATCAATAAAAAATATTTTTTTCCAACAAAAAAATGCCGAAATTTTAACACCAGCTAAATATAATTATATTTAACAATGTTGTTATTGTACTTACTCGTCGGCCTTAATCATCTTGATGAATTAAAACACTCAAAAAGTAATAATTACTGTTTTTACACAATAATTTCAATAAAATACTTGTGGAAAATACGCCGATACAAAATAATTGATTGTGGAGTAACGACGCGTCTATTGAGTCAGCGGATTTGACAAAATGGCGGGTGCGTGGTTGTGTTGTACTATTGTTATTATTTTAGAGATTAAAATGGCAACTACTTGAGTCAGTTTTATTGTTATTTATTTAATAAAAATAAAATAGTTTCTTTATTATTATTTATTTTTATTTTATTAAAAATAATTGTTTTTTTTTAATTGTTAAATTTAATTAAAATTAATAAATGAATTTTTAAAATTATCTATTATAAATAAGTGGAGTGATTTTGTATTTTACCGACTGGCGCTAGTGTGCAAATAACAAAAGACAAAATTTTTAAATGTGACAGTTTTTTTTGACAGCTGAATTAATGTTGTGAAAAATAATGGCCAGGCATTATAAAAGAAAAAAAAATTCTAGTTTTACTTTGAAGAATAATAATAATAAAAAATTGAATAGTTATTATTCACGTTTTAATAAAAATAAAAGGAATTATTGTAAAAATTCAGAATCACAGTAAGTTTTATTATGATAATTAATTTAACCGATATATTTAATAATTTTTAGAATTTTTTTTAACAAATTAATTTTTTTTTTTTATTAATTTAATAATTAGCAATAAAAAAATATTTTTAAAAAATTGCACGTATAGTTTTTCAAATTTTTTGCATGTGGAATTTTTTTTTTTAATTTTCTTGTAATAATTTTATTAAAAAAAAAAATTCTGAAAATAATCAGCTGTCTGGTAATTTTATTTAACTAAAGTTAGGTGTCACTTGACCATTTTTTAATTTTTTCTTTAACAAATAAATGTGTTCAAAAAAATAATTTTAAAAAAATTGCATTGAAAAAAATTTTATATTTAAAAACTTAAAAATGCAATTTTTTAAAAATAATTTATTTAAAAAAATTATTTACTGACTTTATAATTATTTTAGTCATAATCATCCATACGCAACACGATCTAAAACATCAAGTACAGATTTACAACAAAATATTAACCAAAATAATAATAAAAAAAAAAAATTTGATGGAAGTATTATTTATTTAGGCGCTTACCGAAAAGTTCCTAGATTAATTGATCTTGAAACTAGTATGGAGTGTGATGATAATAATAATAATAATAATAATAATAATAATAGCAATAATAATGAGCAAATTAAAGAAGAAGCATTGTTTAAATTAGAGCCGGTAATTTATTTATAATTATTTAAATTTTTTTAAGAAAATAAAATTTTTGTAAATTATTACAGATAGTATTTTTAAACAGCAAATAATAAAATTAATCATTCTGAGTGAAGCGCTGAATTTTAATTGGTATGTAAACAGACGTAAGATAATTAATGGAAATAAAATCATTACCTGCAATGGCTTCTATTTCTATTTTACCTTGTCGCATTAATTTAAGCTCACGTTTTTCATCCTCGTCGTAGTAAGAGCGTTTTTCTAACGCGTCTAATTTTTTAGTGTCGTTGGGAGTCAGTGGCAATTTTTCTACAAAGTAAATTGACATTTCTGAGGGGTACACTCCGATCCATTTGACTTTGGAACACTGCAGTTCCTTTCGTTCCCACCATAAATTCAATGATCCGTATCTGTTAATGAAAAAATAGATAATAGTTGAGAAAAATTGAAGATAGGGCAAAATTAATAAGGAACTTTTTTATAGAATATTTAATTTTCTATAAAAAAGGTTTTTTATTTTTTTTTTTTTCAATAGTTTAGCCAAAATTAACAATTTAAACTTTTGAAAACTGAGGATAAGTTTTATAACTTGACTATTGAATAAAAAATTCAAATTTTGGAGAAAAAATTACAGATAGGGCTAAGGACCTTTTTTTATAGGAAATTTAATTGTCTTTAAAAAAGGTCTGATATACAGATAGAAAAATTTGTTGAGAACAAAATTCTTGGCTCAAGAAAATTTGTCGGGTGAAAAATATTTTCTTGGCTTGTGAACCTTTTTTCTGTGTATATATTTTTTTTTATTTTCAATATTTTAGCCAAAAATGTCAGTTTTTACTTTTGGAAACTAAGGACAAGTTAAAAAACTTTGAAATTCAAATTTTGAAAAAATGACAAGAGATAGAAAATTGATAAGAACTTTTTTTGTAGAAAATTAAATTCTCTATAAAAAAGGTCTTATAATTTTTTCATATCTTCAATATTTAACCCACAATTTTAAATTGTACTTTAAATTACAAATAATTTATTTATTTATTTTATTTAAATTTAATATTTAATTTAAATAATAATAAAAACCTACTTGTACGTCGACATAATTTCAAATCCATGAGGATTGCAATCAACCAGAACAAACACAGGCAACTTCAATTTTTCCACCAGCATCTTAACAAAAATCCTTGTCGCAGTATCAGGATACCCTTTACCAGTAACCAAAATAGCGTTCAATTTTTTCGGACATCCTTCACTTAACAATTTATTAAAAACCGCTTCTTTTTCCACAACAATAATAACCTTAGCTTCCGTTTCAATGGTCACCAATTGTCCCATATGATTGGCCATTATTTGGGGCACCAAACAGCCTCCGACTGCATCGCAGTCAATTTTCTCCTCATTTTCAAACATCAGCTTCAAATTTCCAGCTACTAATCCTTTCGCCGCAGCAACTAGCCCCAAATCCCAGGTCGGAGAAGATAACAATTTAGCGACGCTGTTAATTTGGTAATTTACAATCTTTTCATTTTCAAACAACGTCGATTGCTCGGATTTAAGTTCGTAGTACAAAGAACGATTTGTTTGGACTTTTTTGTTCATTAACAATTTGTGAACTTTTGATAATATTATTGTCATCCTAACCAACTGGATGCGTTTTCGTTCTTTGGAAAAATCTAGAGTTGATTCTGTTTGTGATCCATTGCAACAAATTTGGTCTGGGTCTTGGTTTTCATTGCTACCTTTTAACAATTCTTCTTCATCATCTTCAAGATCTTCATTGTCTTCATTATCATCATTTGAAGCTGGAAGAGATTCTGGAGTATTTAATTCTGGGTCACATCGCTGGTAAGATATTTTAGGAAATTCTGAATTGCAAATTTGTTTTATTATTACTAGAGTTAATTCTTCTATTTTTTTTATTAATTGTTCTCTGAAAAATAATAAAATTTTTGTTTATTTAAGAATGAATTCTGTTAAATTACACTGTATTTTTTTAAATATTGATGTTTTTAAAGATATAAGCTCATTCCGATGTTACACTCATCAAGAGCTTTCATTTAAGTACCAACATGCATTTTTCATATATTTTTCATATATACATATATAATATATATAAATATATAAAATATATGAAAAATTGATGTGGGTACTCAAATGAAAGGTCTCGATGAGTGTAAAGTTAGGGTGAGCTTATATCTTTAAAAATGTCAATAGTTCACAAAATACAAGGTCATTTCTTAATTATTGACATTTTTTAAGATACAAACTCATCCTGATATTACACTCATCAAGACCTTTCATTTGAGTACCTACATGACATTTTTTATATATTTTATATATATGGTATTTGTTTATATATATAAATATATAAAATATATGAAAAATTGATGTGGGTACTCAAATAAAAGGTCTCGATGAGTGTAACATCAGGATGAGCTTATATTTTCAAAAATGTCAATAGTTTATAAGATATAAGGTAATTTTTTATAGAGATAGAGCATTTTTAATTACAATTAACGAGGGTACTTGGATCTCCTCAAACAATATTTTAGCAATGAAATTATTATAAAAAAAAATTTCTACTTGTTAAAATTAAAGTAAAAATTATTAAAAGTATTTTTATTAATTTTATTTATAAATAATGTAGATTTAAATTAATCATAAATATTTATAAGTAATTTATTTATAATAACTTACTTTTTTGGCGTAGGGTCAACAATAGGGATCTCTACGCGTTTCTTCAACATTTTAGCACCTAAGTTCTGCAATAATAAATAAAAAAAATGATAAATTTACCCGTAAAAAAAATAATTTAGGCTAAATAACGTTCCCTCAGTGTAGTAGCCCGAGATTCCACAAGTATCCCGTAGTAAAATAAAAAAAAAAAAAAGAATACATAGACATACTCGTATCAAGTAGCTAAATCTTGAAGGTACAAGAGTCTGCACGTCCCGCTGTGCATTTGTGAGTATGAAACTTTACTCTCTTTATTCAACACACCACTTATGTTTGCACACTACACAGACTATTGTTACACTTTTCACATAATATACATTTCGCTCCGGATTGTCTTAATAAATATTCTTCTTTGAGGAGATAAAATTGACAAGCTTATATTTATTTATCAATACAACAATTAACAATTAATAATTAGTACTATGTAAAAATTTTTAAAATAGTTCAATATTGAATTTAATAAAAAAAATGTCTAATTTTCTCTCAAATCAGATTTTAATAATTAGCAAAAATAATTATGAATCTTAATTTTGGAATTACAGAGAAATTATTGTATAAAAAAATCATAGACATTTTTTGTATAAAATAAAATTTCTCATTGTTTAAAAATTTTTTTCTAAGACCAATATTTTCTTGTTATCAAAATTAAAACAATTAATTTCTCAAAGGCTAAAATCTAATGATTTATAATTTGTTTTATTTATCCGAAATATTTTTTAGGGATTTATTGTAGAATATCAGTTAATATATATATGAGCCGTTAATTAGAGGTCTATTTTAATTGTTAATAAAATTAGGCAAGATCGTTAATTAAAAGGATGTAATTAGGTGGATGTAAACGTAAACGTTTTTGACAGATTAAACAGTTAAATAATATTATGTGTGTTGACGGTCAATGTGTTTGTGTATATTTATGTAGCAAGCTTCGTCGGGTATCTTTCACTTTGGTCAACAAATCAACCAAAATAGTTTTTATTATATTAAATAAAATAATAAATATTTTATTTAAACGCCCAAGGCTCATTTTTACTCGAATTATATAAACTACATTAATTAAATAATATTTTAAAAGAATATTTATTACAGTATCTACTGTAATAATATCAAAATTATTTAAAATAAAAAGGCTTGTAAGAAATAATATTTTACTCTAATAACTTTTTAAAAAAATCGCTAAAGGGTTTTTAATTTTATAAAAAATTACTACATAATTATCGGAACTTTAAAATATAAATTTTGATCTACTATTCTCACGCATGAACGTCCTTAGAATATTAATCATGCTCATGTTTAAAAATTTCCTGACCTCGTAATCCTAAACCAAAACTATAATAATAATAATAAATAATAAATAAACTAAAGGATTATTGGAGTAGTGACTTGCGATCTTCATTCCTCGGGAATTTATTGGGTTAGATGCAATCTCATTTATGTAAATTCATTTATCATTTTATTTGTAATTATTTAAAGTATTATTAATGGCTCATTAATTGATAAGTTTATAAATACTGTTAATCAGTGTACGGAAAGTACTAGATTTGTATTAAAACCCAAGCGCAGGATCGCAAATTATTCATTAGAAAATAAGTGTCTAGTGTCTAGAAAATCTTTTTTTTTTTTTTATTCAAATATGTAAATATTATTTGTAAATTCGACTAAAATTTATTATGACCTAAGGCCGGGTTTTGCTTTTTCAATATTAATATTATATTTTGATATTACGAAGAAAATATTGGTATTAAAAAAGTTTTTTAATAAAAGTAGGAAATTTAACTTTATACTCTAATAGAAGGTCAAGAAATTACCTTGTAAAAGGGTTTTTTATTTTATAAAAAAATTACTACATAATTATCAGAAGTTTAAAATATCAATTTTTATCTCACGCATGAACGTCCTCAAGTATTTCGTTTGCATCTATTAAGACACCCCAAGGATTTAAAAACATAAAAGGATAAAATGGTAATAATGGGGATAGTATTACATTGTGCAACAAGTATACATTTTCAAAACAGCTCTAAGAAGGTACTTCAAATCTTAAACCTTCAAATAGCCCGTATATAAATTTTACTCTATTAATATTATTTCGAATCCAATTGATGATATATTCTTCTGTAATCGTCCTTACAAATAATAATAACAGTAATAAAAATTTTTTTTTATATATATTATATATATTATTGATCGGCAAGATTGACATTCTTACTTTTTATATAAAGTCTCAGGATTTTTATTGTGAAAAAAAAATTTATTTGATCGGATTTAAAATGAAATTTGAATATTTATTTTTCTGATATAAAATTTATATTTAAACTCTTCGCAGTTAAAAGCGAATTTAAAAAATTCACAGCGGGGTTTTTCCGTATACAAAAAAGTGAACAAATTCGATGAAATCTAAAGCACGGTAAAAAATAAAATGTTAAAAGGAGATAAAATCAAATTTGTTCAAACACTAGGAGGTAAAATACGTTTTAGTCATTGTGAATTTTATAAATAAAATTTTGAAAATAAATATCAGTGAGAAACAATAGAAAGAAAGTAATCATAATAATAATAATGATAATAATAGAGCATTTATCGAGTGCACTTATATAGTACCGCAATTTTTGTATAGGGTTTTATTTGGGAAGCAGGAACAAGTTATTGTATCGACCACTGTGTTCACACACTCGTAAAAAAATACTAAACGATGAGAATACGTTACTTGTATAATAAAAAAAAATTGGTGACATAAGTCAAAAGATAGATTTTTAGTTTTTAAATTGCCGTACTTGACGGCATATAAGTGACTTGGGAAAAAATTTTTAACTTTTATCTAATCCATTATTATTGTTGCAAATATTTTTTAGAGAAGAAATTTACAAGAAATTTCTATAGAAAATGCAACGTTACCTGTTGATGATATTTTTAACTATGCACTGGGTGGGAAAGTTGGCGCAACGAGCAGAGAGTGTGTGCTGACGCACGAGGGCAGCAAGGAGGTGTTTACTGTTTAGAAATAAATAAATTTAAGTAGCAAAAATGTTTTGAAGAATTTCTTTAAATTGGTTAAAATTTATCGAAAATCTTTCGATTGATTTTTCAGGAAAAAATTATAAATTTATATCAAAAAAAGGATTGAGAAATTTTTAAATGGCTGTAACTTTTTTTAAGCTCGATTTTGATTTGCTTGCCGGCATTCGACGCTATTTTTTAAGTACTAAAATAGTTTATAAGCTGTTGAAAAGATGGATCGAACAATTTAAAAGTTATTTTAAAAAAAAAGGAGTAGAAATTAAAAATTGACTAGAATTTTTGAACTTGTCGTTGGATTTAGACTTGCTTGGCGGTAGACTTAGTTTTTTAAGTCCAACAAAAGTGTCTCTGTCTGGACGTTGATTAGTCAAATATTTATAAAGTTATTTAGAACAAAAGTTAACAAAACAATTGTATATTTTGTTGGTGATTTATTTGTTTTTGATATCTTTTTCTCGGGCAAAGTACGATTGACTAAAATCTAATCAGATCGAAGTCTCAATTAACACTTTCGAAGGCCGAGGAGCTCATCTCAAGAAGGTTCGATTCCTCCTAAAGATATCCTACGACAAATTTTATTTACATGTTTACACTCGGCCGGACGTCCAGCCGGGAATAGTCGGATTGGCTTGCTAGTCGCTCAAAACCTGGAGATCTGATTAAAACTCTTCTCTAAATCGGACCTCAATAACTTCCTACTTTTCAAAATTATTCTTTTTCAAACCATGAAGTTTAAAATTCTTAAATAAAATTTATTTTAATTAACAACAATTTTTTAAATCAATAATTTTTCTGATAAATTTTATTTAAAAAAAACATTGAAAACTGCGCAAATAATTTTTTTAAAGTGTAAAAAAAAATCTTGTTAACGATATGTCGATACAAGACTCCTGAAACCGATTATCCCGGCACCGGTTATCCCCAAGGGCCTCGTGGTCTGTCAAGTAAAAGCCGCGGCCTGATAATGAAACGTATATTTAAGAGCCGACTCTTGAATGAACAACTTTTTTGTTTTTTATTTTTAACACACTTATAATTCGCTTTAAAGTCTTACTTTTAGCAGTCCGGCCTCGCTCCTCGTAAATCGGGACTACCGCGTGATTTACGATTATTTTCAACATTATCCATTGATGGAGACTACTTTTTAAAATCTTAAATTCTCGAGCGTAATCAATCGAAATAATTAAAAAGAAAAAAAAAGCAAGCTTGGATGTGTTGTAATATATATACTTGACAGTGAAATTAAAACTATAAATTATTAAGACATGTTATTTAACCAATAAATAAATTCACTGTTCTTGGATTGTTTAAAAAAAAGTTTGTTATTAACCAGAAGCTGAGGATAATTTATTAAACAAGTTAACTAGCTTCCTCTTGTGATAATATATCCCAGAGTGATTTTAGCTCCCGTTGAGCTTTAAGATCTTTCGCTGTTAAATTACTAGCGGGATAAGACTTTGTTTTAATACATTACTCCACCCAGAGGCGATGAATTACGAGAATACCAATAAATATAACAAAGTATCGGTACATTCCGTGTCCTTGCTGTCGATACTTATCATCGCTCTACCTTCAAACTATACTTTGATTACTTTCAATGCTAAAATATATTAAAGTTACTAGAAATAAATTTGTTAATTATTTTTATAATTGACAGGAAAAAATAATTTAAAAAATTTATTTTACAAAATATATTTCGACGTTCTAATTAGCAAATTGTCTAACTCTATTTGCTTTATAGCATCATTATAGATGCTTCATCAATTTTTCCAGAGCAATTTTTCAATAAAAATATTTTTTTTTAAATGAATTTAAAATTAAAAAAAAAAATGAATCTTTAATTTTGACCGTTGAAAACGATTTGCACTAAACTGAAAAAAAATACTTCCCTCGAAAATACAAAATTAATCCTACAACACATTGAATATTATAAAGAATTAGACTGATTACCTACACGGAAAGAACAAGATGACACTGGATACCATCTCAGACTATACTC